ACTTGATAAAAATTCTGATAAATCATTATTATCTTTACTTACAAACCCAGCCAGATGTTTGTCAGAAAATTATTTTCTTATTTTTCGGGGCATTTTCAAAGGGTTCACTTTGCACTTGAAAATAAAATCGGAAAATCACGCCAAAATGATTTTTTCTTTTAACTTTGTAACGGGTAAATAAACTCGCGATTTATGAACGGGAGTGTTTAGAACTTGATGAAATTTCACTCTCTGTGAAATTTCAGTTAAAAATTTTGCTCTAGCTAGGCGCTACAGGCGAAAAATCAAAGTGCGCCACGTTAGGGGCCGCGCCACGTTAGGGTACATCAACAATATACGTACCTACCTCCATTGCAGTAGGTCTTATGTCACTTAGGACGTCTTCTTTACATGTTTGAGGTTCGGGACTGACCGGGTCCTTCGCTGATTGTGAGCCGCAGGTCCGAATGGACGACGGTGCAACGGTTTGACGGTTTCCCCCTAAAAAAAGGGGGCACTGGCACGTGGCACTGCCACTGGTTTTCTAGCCTGCAGCCTGAAAGCGTCTGTTTTCAGTGCTGTAGGGATGGTAGGGTTGAACCCCCCCCCCCCCTCGTTGTTGTCGTGTGAAGCGCATCACGCCAAGTGTGGCTTTCTGCTCCTCTTGGAGTTCTTTAACCTAGCTGTTTCCCCAAGTCATCACCAAATAGCAATTGGGTCACTTTTGTGGACGGCTTGCATAAGTGAGCATATTTTTGGTTCATGTCAGGTCGGATGAGCTCTTTTCGCAAACTGTTAAGTTCAACATTGGCTGATGCCAGCAATGCGTAGCCATCCTCCTGTTCGGCAGTCAGTGTGCCAGTACAAGATTGAGCCAGGGCTGTAATCCCTTTGATGAGTGGCTTCTGCACTCTCTGCAGTTTCAAATGCCTGGAGCGGGTTTTAGCTGATATGTTGTCCCATATTTGAGGATTAACCTTTGGTACAGTAAGAGCGTCGCAGTTACTAGGACACTGATATTTTTCAGCTGTGTCGGTGAGGCTTTTCTCCTCGAGCTTTTCCCTCATAAGGAAGTTCAGACTATTCGCTACATCCTCTTTGATGGGGTTATCCACTACAGAAGGAGCAGTAAATTTCGCTGCAAAACCTTTGGCTTTTGTAGTCAGGGGTGTGAGTGACCACTGATCAAAATAGCTGAAAACAGCTGAAAAAAAAGTGTAAAAAAGCTGAACTTTGGAAATTTCCAATACTTTTGTACACAGCAAGTGAGGGGGAAAAAGCTGAAATCCAAAACAAAAAAAGCTGAAATCAGCTTTAAAGCTGAGTTTTTACACCCCTGTGTAGTACTGTCACTAGTGCTCATACTCGTTTCTGCACTGCTGGTGGTAGCAGTAGCACTACTCGGCCTAGCATTATGCTCCGAGTCTGTGTCCACCATGTCCACAGGGGAAACCATATTTTGGCCAGTTGGTGATGTGTTCATGTCCTCAGACTGTTCCAAAAATCGACATTTGAGTTAATATTCACGGCCGCAAAGGCTGAATAAGTACTTGCATGATCATCGTCACCGCCGCACTCAGACATGTCGGAGTAAGCGCCGGCCGCCATGTTAAAATTCGCCATGACACCCATGATCATCGCCTGGAAATTGTGACTCTCGGTGGCTTGTTTTGCCAGTAATTCCTCAAGGCATGTGAGTCTGGTTGACATACCAGTATCATCCTTGGTCTTCCGAGGATGTTGTGAGGCCTTTTTTGGCTGAGAAGAGTCCGAGTTACTCGCACTGTCTTTCGGTTTTGAGCGCGACTTTGTCACGGTCGGTGCAGTTGTACATGCAGGCGTGCTTGTTGCAGTACTCGTGGTCATGCCCGTACTGCTGCACGGTGTCGTTGCACCGAAACAGGACAACTCGTACGCGAACCAACTCGTACGTGAGACAACTCGTACGCGGATTGGTCAACTCGTACGCGAGACAACTCGTACGCCAGGCAACTCGTACGCCAGGCAACTCGTACGCAGGACAACTCGTACGCGGGCCAACTCGTACGCGGGCCAACTCGTACGCAAACCAACTCGTACGCGGACGATCGCCAACTTGAAGTTTATACCCCAAAACACACGCCAAAGTTAACGATTTATCACAGTGGTCTGATTGTATGACTGAATGACTGTGATTGTAGCCATATGTATTTTCAACAATTTTAAATTCCATTAATGCAACTATGTTCAGGTTCAAAAGTTTCAATGATAAATTAAAAAAAAAACATGATCCATTTTAATTGCGATCGATGGGTAGTGCAATGCCGCGGCATGCACTTCCAACCATGAACTAATGATGAACTAATTGGGAATTTGGGACTACTCAGTAACACAAAATAATCCCCTTGACTTAAGGAAAAAAGAATGTGCCGGACAACTGACCGACCCTAATTTCCAACACACCCGAACCTACGGTTTCAGTAAAATCCCTTGTGCTACGGCTGCTTGTCTATACTCACGCGTACGAGTTGGCTCGCGTACGAGTTGGCTCGCGTACGAGTTGGCTCGCGTACGAGTTGGCCCGCGTACGAGTTGGCCCGCGTACGAGTTGGTCCGCGTACGAGTTGGTCCGCGTACGAGTTGACCCGCGTACGAGTTGGTCGTGTACGAGTTGGCTCGCGTACGAGTTGACCTGCATTCCGTTGCACAAGCAGCAGTCGGTGAGCACACCGCTGCCTTGTTCGGCGTCTTTTTGCCGTCAGTTTTTTCCTTATTTTTGTCCATGGTTACCATGGATCACAATTCTTCCGTCGAAGATTAAGAAAGGACAAAAAACGAAGTGAAGTATTTGATACAAATAATTATTTCACTCCGTGAAGAAAATGACAGCGGTTTCCGCTATCGCGCGCTGTGGCGTAATGACTGCGCATCCGCGTGGCGGGATCTCACGGAATCTCTCACGAGATTTCGAAATAAAATGGATATATTTCCCCCTCATAACCGTATACGTTTATCGTTAAATTATTTTGTCTTTCTATCTTTGGTATCTGGTCGATCGGTGTTGGAAAGTCTACGCCTTTAAATTTGAGTCCGTCGTCTTTGGTTTATACAACCGGTTCTTCTTTATGAATTTTATATTTAGGATCGTTTTTTATTTCATATTTTACTTTATCCGTATACAAGCCAAGAGCCGCTCTCAAACACCATCTCAAACACTCGTCGTCTTTGTTTTTAATGTTTATCATTGCCGTTTTCTGTTTGATACATTTTGGTAGGTCTATGTAAGAACTACCCCTCACGGGATTAAACCTGTTGATGTTGATGTACAACGCCATTATCTTTTTTAAAACCCAACCCGATCCTTGATTCGTATACCTTTCATCCTTTCTAAATAGCTGGTCGATGTCTTCTTTTAAAACCTGTTTTATTTGACTTTGATTTAAAACGACTCTCTGATCGTTAAAATGAATAGCTTCAATCGTTTCGATCGTACCATCCGGTTTGGTTTTTTCGTATCTTATTTTGATCACAAGTTCTACTTTTAAACCTCTTAACTCTCTCAATTCCGACAAATTTTATTTACAATTTGATCTTTGTGCGTATCAAAAAATCTGACTAAATCGTCGTTAAAAAGTCTAGGAATCAGTTCACAGTTTCTAAAGTTGTTTCTGAATCTCCTCGTCGCTCTAAACTTAGCCTCTTGAAAATATTCAGGTTGCCTAGAATTTTGAATCGCTGAGAGTAAATCTTTTTTCAAAAATCGACCATTATAACCCGTCGGTGTAAATTCTAGATCGTAATCGTCTACAATCTGTTTGAGCTCATGTAGTGTCTTTTTCCTCAAGTTTTTAAATTGAGCTTCGTAGTTTTTTACCCCGTCGATGTAGACTTTTCGAGAAAGATAAGCATTTCGATTGTACGGTATTTTATATCGCTGGACGTAATCACGCAGCGTGGCTTTATTCCATCTAGAAAACCCTTTAACGATTGGCTTGAACGTATTCATCATTTAGGCAAAAAAAAAAAAATATTCGGTCTCTGGTCAGACCAAAGTTCCGGAATTGACGCGGCCACGCGGCTTTTTTTTTTTTTTTTTTTTTTTTTTTTTCTTCAAGCTTGGATTGTACAGACAAGGTGGGTACTATTTTGCTTTTTTGGTGTCCTCATGTACATTGGTGTCCTCCATAATTTGCCTTGGTGCTTTCGATCATTTGCCTTGGTGCAATTTCCCATTCCTTGGTGCTCTTTGGTAAAAAAAAAAATTGAGGAGGTGCGGAAATAGAGGGCGCTGTTGGAGCTACCGCGGAACATTTTGGGAAAAAAAAAGATCGACGCGCATGATTAAAATCGACGCGCGCGCTGACCAGAGACCGACTTATTTTTTTTTTTGGCCTTATATCAATTTTTTTTTTTTATTTTTTTTAAGAGGTCAGACTTTTGGATTTATAAGCAATTAGACACATCGGCCAGTGAGAGAGATCTTCAATACGAGAGATATTTGGGGATTGGCGCCGTACCCCTCTCCTGAGGGTTTTGTCTGATGGGAGAGTGATGTTTTGGCCTGGTGTCCTCCATTGCGGGTCCAAAAAAGGGTCTATATTTCAAAATATTGGTCTTGTACCACTACCCACACCTATGGTAAAGTCTGGTACCCTCCCCTTACACCTACTGGTAGTCTCTTTTGTGAGTATGTGTGGTTCTGAAAAGAACCAGAAGATACGCTAGGGCAACCACATGATTCGTGGCATGCCTTTAGATGGTGGTTTACCAGTGTGCCAAGTTAGAGGTACATCGGATTTTAAAAAGTGCCAAAGTCGGGGGCCAGAAAAACAAAGGCTTTTCCAACAACTATGCTGAAACAGCCAATAAGGGAATAAGGAAAAACAGAGGTAATCCTCACTTTTTCTACTTGCATATTGTGTACATATTAAAACAACAACTTTTCCAAGTTGGTCCATTACCAAGACTAAGCCCATATGGCAATTTGCTAGTCACTTCATTGCATTTCTTATGACACAAATCTGTAACGGCTATTGACTTACCCCTTCATTTATGAGCCATAGTAGCATGTTAATTGTTAGCACAGCGGTCAGCAGACCTACTCGTCTGATCTTCAAAATAGGAAGTGAAGATTGTGAAGCAAAGACACCAGCCTGTGATAAACAAAAGTCGTATTCAGTAATAACTTCAAGTGTATTATTTCAAAAACATTACTTAAAGGGAATATACATCATTTGCTTTTGCTGTAATTTTCAGAAATGGATGGAATTGGGGGGTTGGAAATATAAAGCAAATATAGTTACACTGACTTTTTGGAGATTTTGGGTTCGAAAATGCTATAAAAACCAAGAAAAACGATCATTTTCCTGTAGTCTGGTTCCCTGACTCCATATAAGAAGAAACAGAGCAGTTTACATACATTGGGGAATTGTAAGGTCAGGGAACCAGTCTAGCTTGCTCGTACCCGTTCATAGGTTTGTAATCGATTGCAAACAAGTGCAATGGTCAATTGGGGCCAGTATTTGAAAAAAAGCCAGTTGTTTCCAACGCTGATCGGCCGATCAGCGTTGGAAATTGATACAAAAATACCACTTTTCTTGAAAATGACAGTATACCAGGTGCCATAATTTTACAGGATGCTTTAGACTGTCATTTACCAACATCCTGTTAAGGTATTTCGCAAAAACTTGGTAGTTTTATTTTTCGATGTTTGCAAATGTTGTATATTCCCTTTAAATAAAAAAAAATGGAGTTTTAAATTCTTGTTGTGTGGCATTCAAGTTAGGTGGGCTTAAAGGCATACAGGATCATTCGTTCAATATTTTGTAAAGGAAAATCAATACAGATCATTCTCAATTTCTAACTCATAAAATTCTTGTAATTACCATGAACATTAGTTGGTATTGCAGTATTAATGTAACAAGAAAAGTCTACCATTTTTTTTCTTGAATACTTCGAGGAAAAACTTTTGGGTCATAGTACTAATGAATTTGCCTTTAAAGTGCTTACTGATTCCATAAAGTCAAAAATAAAACCCAGTCTGATGATACCACTGATCATATTTGACCAACTCCACAAAAAAAGGATATTATGTCACAAAAGGTTGTCTACAACAGGGGAGCGCAAGGGTCCCATGGGACTGAGCATTTGCATCAAGTAGGTCTAAGTGTCACACAAAAAAAGTGAATTTGAGTTACATTACATGGTGGTAAAGCCAACAACGTAAGCTTATAATAGCGCTCCATAGCCCCTCCCATTATATTAATTACTTCCTTGGAGTTCAAATTACACAACTGAAAAAAACCCAAACAAACAGGCTTTGGATTTGGGCCCGATGCACTCGAAATTGTAATTTTAAAGATGTCAATCATAAAAAAAAAAGGTGAAAATCACATATTCACCCAATCAACGTTGAGCGGGCCATTATACGATTATGCAGAGTGCGACTAAATGTATTGATTGTTACTTGTGTGTAAAGTATGGAAGGACCTCAGTTAAAATCTTACACGGTCCTGAGTAACCTCCCTCAACTCGCTGAGCGTCACGGCCCATTTAGCATTTGGCTTGGAAGTTTCCAGTTACTCAATGGAGCATATTTGAATAATTTATTGGCCAATGGATTACGCAAACTTCTTGCCACTCACAGGTGGACGGTACATGTAACGTGCAAAGAGGCAGATTCGTGGTGAACTACGCACAACGTCTGCTTCCCTGAAGTGAAAATTCTAGGCCTCTGTTTTTGTCTGTGGGCCTGACTGTTTCAGCAGTAATATCAGTAGTAATAGGTACTGCTTGTTGCCATCGAGTAATTTGATCCACACATGTAAGCATGTAGGTAAATCCATGAGATGGTGGTAATGGACAAACTATATTAACCCTTACCCTACTAGACCCTCCAACGCATGCCAATATGTGCCTCAAGAAAATCTCCTATGTTTTTTGCATGGCCCTCCAATATCTGCCATGTCATTTCAAGGGTAACTGGACAGGCACTCCAATACATGCCACAGAGAACAATGAGAGTCCTCTGATAACAAAGTGAGTGCCCCCAGCTGGTCAGTATCAGGCACCCTCCAGGGCCTCCAACTCCTGCCAATTGGAGCCTTCACTGTTAAGACAAACTATCTGCCAATAAACTGCAGCTGGAGGGCATTGGCATAACCAACTGACATGCAGTAAACTACCCTCAGAGAGTAAGGGTTAATGTGGACATGGTTAAAGAGAGCATCAAAGCTGCTGCTGATAATTATGCCCTCAAAGAACTCCGGTCACCTTCTGAAGTACTAGCTGGCTGTAACCTTCCCAGAATAACCACGGGCGTACAAGCCACATGCTACACAAGTGGCATATGAAGCGAACGCCTGAGTGTGACTTGGGGGGGGGGGGACTACTGATCAGAGCGCAAGGCACATTGTCAACGAGTGCCCAAACAGAAAACTGGACGGTTGCATCTATCGTTCGTCTGGCCAGCTGTGACCTGATCACGACACCGTGGCTGTCAGACATGGACCTTGACAATTGATTCAGTGTTGCTACAAGAGATAGAGAGGTGTCACAGAGTGACGCTGTACCTTAACATGTTGACACTTTATGCACTTTCTGGTTGATGATCAAATATCTTTGTTAATTGGATGGCCATATGAATCTTTGTGTGATTGAACGTTGAGTAGCTCTTATTCCTGGGTGAGATGTACCATGAATAGAATTATGCCAAAATTCAGGAGGTGTGTATGGACGTGACTGACCAGTGGATATGTCACATGTAATACTACCGTGGGTGGTGAAAAGTGGCATTTCTTGAAATTGAAGATTCAACGATGTATGTAGCTTTACTAGGTCTTCATCGGTCTTCTGTTTAAAGCAATTGCGTCAAAATCCACTGTAGTAACTGATGTGATTGCGGGAGCCATAATATCAATATGGAGTCTGGAAAATGCATCTGCTGCAGCATTTTCACTGCCTTTCACATAGCGTAGTATATCTGTGCTGAACTGTGACATATAATCTAAGTGACGGATCTCCCCAGGTGAATAACGATCAGGCTTCGCTGTAAAAGCATATGTGAGGGGTTAATGATCGGTTAAGATGCAAACATCTCGAAATTCTAACATATGTCTACAATGACGAACAGACAAATATAACGCTAACAACTCGGGACCAAATCTACCGTATTTAGTTTCTGCCGGCTGTAAACGTTTTAAAAGGAGGCAATGGGCATCAAAACCTTATGAATACACTGGTGGAATGCTCCTCCAATTACAACACTGGACGCATCAGTCATGATGCAAAGTGAGCTTTCCGCATTTGGGTGTACTATAACAAAGTAGCTTCAGCTGGACAGGTTTTGGCTGTCTGAAATGCTTTCAAGGCAGTATTGGAAACTTCGGTTGCTTTTTTTTTTGGGGGGGGGGGGTTAGGCCTACCTATGTGGGGTGCTGTGGTCCAATATGGTTACAGTGTTCGATTCGTGTGCTGTGGTACATGGGTTCGAATCCTGACCGTTGGACCATGCATGCTTGTGCTCTTGAACAAGGCACTTTACCATTATTGATTCGTCCTTCGGATGGGACGTAAAGCCTTAGGTCCCGTGTGTTGTGTAAAGAACCCAGTAATACATTGCTTAGAGAAGGGTTTGCCCCGGTGTTTCTTGCAGTGGCTGCAATATATGCGCCGCAGCACCTTGAAATATGCATTGTTCTTTTGGCAAAAAGTTGTGTCCCGAAGAGTGACGTCATGATTACGTCATCAATGGTCACGTGACGTCATTACAAACGTGCATATTTTGAAGGCCTATATTTACAGAACAGTAAGTGCGATTGGGTTGAAACTTGGTATGTGGGTATATAGACCGGGATGTGTTAAAGATAAAAAATGAGGTGACGTCATGATGATGTCATCATTCGATTTGATAAGAATATTGTCATTTTGGGACCTTTTAGCCATATCTCACGGTTAAAAGTCACACATTTGTCACAAAACTGTGACAAATGTGTGACGTCATGATGACGTCATCAAAATTGTGAGTTTTAAAACACACATAAGGGAATGTCCGATCGTCTTGAAACTTGGTGGGTAGGTATATAGTGCAAAAATCCAAGGTGATGTCATGATGAAGTCATCATCTGATCTTGTATTAATTTTTAAACATTTTACATTTTTGGTGCTAGCTCAATATAACATGAAATGCAGTCAGATTGACTTTCAACTAGGCACAGACAAAAGCCCCTAAGGTTAAGGTGGTCCCAGACAAGTGACATCATGACGACGTCATCATAGGTCATGGACGTCATCTTAAAGGTGTATAATTTAAGATTATATCTAAAGAAACGTAGGTCTGATTGGGTTGGAACTTGGTATGGACATGTAGACAGGGACGTGTTGCAGGGGGAAAAAATGGGGTGGCGTCATTATGACGGCATTATGGGGCATGAGACATCATCTTAAAGGTGCATATTTTAAAGCCCTATATGTGGAACTTATAGCCATGGAACTATGTTCTTGCATATAATTTACCTGACTGCATAAGGACAAAACAAAACATCAACTCATAAAAACATAATACGGAAAAACCCTATATTCTGTTCATTGAACAGACATAGTTCTAGTTAGGTGTTGGGCCTTGAGCCCAATACCTATTGTTTTTGTAAGATTTTAGTGTTTGTATTCTTCTCAGCATATTCTCAGGAATTCGTTTCCGGAACTGTTTGGAGAAATGGAAACATATATGAACTTCATTTGTCAATACATGAATGCCCAATCCACCGCAGATGGTCTTTTTTGTAATTACGTCATCATGACGTCATCATGGGTCACGTGACGTCACTCGAAAGTTTAATAAATTTAATCTTTGAAATTCCATATAAAATCAACCGTGAGAGACCGGAACCTGAAATTTGCGGGAATCGACATGGTAATACATGATCTTCATTTTATCCTGTGCGCGTAAAATCATGTGACCCTTCCTTCCGGTCGAAACTGGAAGTGCCTAATAATTTGAAAGTGGAAAAAGATATGAACTTGCTTTTAACGATTTAAGTGTCTGCCTGAATTGACCATTCAAAAAAAATAATGGGTGATGCCATGAAGTGTTGGAGCGCCCTCTAGCGGCAGGTTAAAAAACATCAAAAACGCATTTTCACTTGATGTCTGTGGCGCTTCAAAATTAATGTTCATGATGACCATAATGCAGACAACACCTGTGCGCGAAAAAAAAAATTGATTACGTCATCAAACCGGAAGTTACAATAAAAAGACCTTTAAACCTTAAAAAATTGCTAGAAAATATACCGTGATAGATATAATCAAGATTTGGCTGTATACAGCACAGTAACTATAGCTCTTGAGGTTTCTGGTAATGACGTCACAATGACGTCATCAAGTATCATATTACAAGCAATCAAAGATTTCTAGATTTAATCTTTGAAAAGCAATGTAAAATCAACTGCTACAGATTTGATTTTGTTCTTTATGGCAATCGATACAATATTGCAGGGTCTTCAGTTTTGGTATTTAGTGCAAAATCACGTGACCCTTCCTTCCGGTCGAAACCGGAAGTGCCTTATTATTTGAAATTGGCAGAAGATGCGAACTTGCTTTCAACGATTCGAGTGTCTGCCAAGGCAGTACTGTACAAACATATTACACTTGATGTCATCAAATGTTAGAGCGCCCTCTAGCGGCAATTTAAAAAACGTTGAAAACGCATTATCATTTGATGTATGTGACGAAATTTGCGGTGATCGCTTCAAACCTAACATACATGATGAACTTAATGCAGAAAAGACCTGTGCGCGAAAAAAAATGGATGACGTCATCAGACCGGAAGTTATAAAAAAAAGGCCTTTAAACCTTAAACAATTGCTAAAAAATCAACCTTGAGAGATATAATCAAGATGTGGCTATATATAGCAGAGTAAATATAGCTCTGGAGGTTTCTGGCGATGATGTCACAATGACGTCATCAAGTGTCATATTACAAGCAAATAAATATTTCCATATTTAATCTTTGAAAATCAATATGAAATCAACTGCTACAGATTTGATTTTGTTTTTTATGGCAATCAATAAAATATTCAGTATTTTATTATTTTGTTTTTTATGGCAATCAAATAAAATAGTCGGTCTCCTGACGATGACTAGAGCAGGCTAGTCGAAATCGTTGAGACCAAAGACAAGTTCGTTTAGAACTTACAGCAGGACAAAAAACTACTTAGCAAAGTTGATAATAAGCAGGACAAGTTCTTTTCAGAACTAATATCTTCTAAGCAGTAGTTATTACCACATGGTGTTACCGCAAACCGAAACGATACCGATACCCCACCATGCAAAGCCTCAAATCTTATATCAATAAAATATTGCAGGGTCTTCATTTTTGGTTTTAAGTGCAAAATCATGTGACCCTTCCTTTCGGTCAAAACCGGAAGTGCCTTATTAATTGAAATTGGCAGAAGATGCGAACTTGCTTTCAATGATTCGAGTGTCTGCCTAGGCAGTACTGTACAACAATTTTACAGGTGACGTCATCAAATGTTAGAGTGCCCTCTGGCGGCATGTTGAAAAGTCAAACATGGATTTAAACATGCATATTTTGAGTTGATGTGTGTGGCAAAGTTTGCGGTAATCCATGGCCCAACACCGTGTAGTTGTTCCTACAACCTCTAGTTATCTTTGTCTTTGTGCTTTTCTCATCCCCTGTAAGTAATATATTGATGTTGCACATCTTTTAACATGAAAAGCACACTGCCAAAAATTATTTCTTACTTAGGAACACTTTTCTTGAAATTAGAAAACTATTCTAGATTTAAGATAATTTGTAAGAAAAAAGAAAACGGGCAAGAAAATCCTTCTTAAAATATTTAATAAAATATACTTGAAGAAATTATATCTTCTTATAAGATTTTTTTCTCAATATTATTCTCATTACAAGAAAATTTTCTAATTTTAAGACAATTTCTTATATGAGAAATTTGTTCAAGAACTGCGAACTGTGTTTTTCTCATATTTGCCATCTATTTTCCTATTTTAAGAAAATATTTCCTATTTTAATAAAAACAATTCTTGTATCCAAAAAAATGCTACACTTCAAGAAAATTATTCTTGCCAAGTGTTCTTTGTTGATGCATTGTAATACAAAAAAAAATTATTTCTCATTTTAAGAAAACTTTCCTTGAATGAAATTAAAATTGTATGACTTTGGCCATAACACCAGAGGGCGCTGTTGGGGGAGTGGCCAACTGAAATTTAAAAGTGTATTGTTTCAGCTGTTAGGCCTGAACATTCACTTATCATTTCCATCATTTTTTTTCTGCCACAGGTATGTTCAAATGTTAGTTTTATTTCATGTTTCAACTTAATTAACATAGATTTAGGATGGCTATTTGTATGAACTTTATTGTTGAAGATGTTTAAGGACTGAAAAGATTGAAAGTTGTGTAAGTTTCAGATCGGTAGTTGCAAAGTTATGTGCATGTAAATACACGTGTAATACATGTATTGAACATTGCACACATAACCCACGCAGCGTGAGTGAGATAGCAATTCCTTTTCTTTTATAGAAAGTAACACATAAAGTGGAAGTCACTGATATGAAAATTGATTTTTAGAATTGTTAGAAGTTAATCTGAGTTTGGAGATTAGGCTCTGCCTGAGAAGTAAATCTAAGTTTGGAGATTATGCTCAAATTAAAGTAAGGTTTGAAGTTCAAACACCAATAAAAATAGTTATGACAGTGACAAAATTTTTAAATAAAGTTGTTGGGTGAAAATACTATTATTGAAATGAGCAAACTATACAGGGTGATTAAAAAAAGGTAAGCCTGAAACAAAGGATTTTATTTGTTAAATATGAACACAATGTCTTCATGGCATCCATTGCTGTTATGGATGAATGCATACCATTGCCTTGAAGTTAGCTTGCTAAATTGTTTTCTTGTAGAAGGAAAACAATTCTCATTAATTTGTACTAAGATTTATGATGTCTTTTCTTATGGAATCCGAGAAAACCTCAGCAGAAACAAGAAAAAAAAACCAAGATTACAATTCCAACTAGGAGTTAATTGTCTTGATTCAAGAAAAGGAAAAAGGCTTTCTTGTGTCATTCCTAATCCTAGAAAATGGTAACAAGAAAGTTTTTCTTAAAATAAGAAACATACTGAGAAAAGTTTAGAAAAAAAAAATTCTTAATTTGACAAAAGTTAAGAAAGAAACAAGAAAATAAACTAGATTTGTTTTTTGCAATATCAAGGGGTTATATTCTTGATTCAAGAAAAGGAAAGAGGTTTTCTTGTGTCACTCCCTAGGAAATTGTAACAAGAAGAAAAAAATTCTTGCAGTTTTTCTTAAAATAAGAAACATAACTGAGAAAAGTTTAGAATTTTTTTTTCTTATTTTGACAAAAGTTAAGAATTTTTTTTTATCTTAAATCAAGAACATTAGGAAAAAAAACAGATAAAAAGTTTCTTAAAACAAGAATTGGCCTTTTAGAAATTTTTTCTTGTGTCACTCCCTAGAAAAAATAACTTGTTTTAAGTTTTTTTTTCTCAAAATAAGAAATATATTTTTGGCAGTGCATCGCCCAAATCTGACCAGCTTCATCCTAAAATAGGGTAAGATAACATGATACAAAGACAACACAATAAAGCCCAATTGTAGACAGGATCTTGTAGTACAAAGGTATTTTGTTATATTGAGTTCCTATTTAAATCTTACCTGAAAGCAGAGTTGTAATGATGCATACAGCTCTGGACATGAGGCGGTATCATGTTTTGGCCTTGCCTTGGCAGCTGCCACTCTTATTGTGTAACTGCTAAATTGTACAACAGCCAACTGTAAAACAAGCAGCAAAGAAACAAAAACTAAATATTTCCAGAGTCACACATATACAGGGTGTCTCACACACACAAAAACAAGCCCTCAACTTTAATTTTAAAAAAATACACAGCAAATATCTATACATATTTAGAGAGTATAATCCATTAGTTTTCCAACAACGTAAACGTCTTTCCAATCAGGTAAATATTGATTGAGTTATGGCCAATTGTAAGGAAGTACCGCTTTTTCATTTTTTCCACGGCGACTGATATTTTGACAGCTACAATAAGAACACGGGCCGAAACTTGCATTTGAGAAGAAAGACTACCAAGTAGAGGGCAGAGACAACCACAAAAAGCAGCAAACTTAACATCTAAGAAGTTAATCTAACAGATCTTTTCAGGACTATACCATTACTTCCAAAAGGACAAATGACTATTGTTGCAAAAATAAAATAATAAAATGAACAAAATAAATAAAGATTAAAACATTAGACAGAAAAACTTCCCTCACCCCAAATCCATTACATTCCTAACAAATGACAATTGAGATAGGATCAGATTGAAAAATCAGCACTTATTTCGACGCTTTGTTTCGCCGATGTAGTGGAAACCGCATAGTTGGCAGGAGATACAATATACAACGTTGGTAGATACACAAGTGAATTGTCCACTGGGTGTATAACTGCTCTACAGGAGGTACATAGATGACATAGTTGGTGTAACATCATCCACAAGGGAGGAAATTAACAACTTCATTGAATTTGTTTGCAAATATCATCCTGCCCTGCAATTCACCTCAGAGACCACACTCTACTTCCTCGACATTCAACTTCGGATTGATGGTGAATGGTTGGTAACCTCCATGTTCTACAAGCCAACTGACTCCCACAGCTGCCTGCAATACGACTTATACTACATGTACTGTGTGCATCACCTTGATTTGGACTATTACCCTACGTGTAAACCCTACCTGTGTGTGGCAGTTCGTACACACAAAAGAGACCCTATTGTTGACAACCATTCATCCGTGAAAACAATCCAACAGTAAAAAGCATTTGCTACCTGTTGTCTAGTAATTGCTGAACAGTAAAGGAAAACTTGTATTCATGTGGAATCAAGCATTTGCTTTTCCTTAATGCTTTTACTCCAAAGTAAATGCTTTTACTTTTTGCTTAAGCTTCCTAGCATTTGCTAGTTTTTATTAATACGACCCAATTGGGTCGTATGTATAAAAACTAGCATTTGCTTTTACTACCTATTTTTAAGCATTTACTTGCATTTGTATGAATAAAAATGAAGCAAATGCTTTTACAAGAAAGCATTTGCTGAAAGCTAAAAGTATTTACTTTTTACTTGTTAGCTTTTGCTAGACTAGAAGTGTTTACTTCATTTCGTATGAATAAAAAGGAGTAAATGCTTCAGATTTCAAGAATTTACTAGTCATTTTTCAAGGCTGGGTTGGGGCAGCCTTGAAAATATAAAGCAAATACTTCTGCGCAAAAACTGCTGCATTTATTAATATTAATCGCCCCAAAATTAACAAAAAAACGTTAATAAACTACATATAATACCATACACTGTATTTTGACTAACATTTATGCGCAATTTAAATACTTTTTTATTATTTATTTTATTACTAGAAGAAACGATAATTGTGCATTTTGTTCACGATATGAGTGTTAGCGTAAAATTCAGTGCGGCATAGAATGATTAAAGATAAATTTTATCCAACGGCACCCTAGGGACTGAACAAAATGAAATCATTTGTTTAGTTTATTAGGTCACCAATCTTTGCAAACTAATATTTTTTTTATATTTTAATAAACAAAACTCTTTGTATATTGAATGTTGGTATGATTTTACCCGCTTTAACACGTGTGTGATTTTTATGCAATTGTGATGTCTACAGGACACTGTGCACCTGTACAATTTTCATGAACGATGAAAGTATACATTTTGCATTCTGGAACTGCCGAAAAGTGTCATGATTTTTGCTGGATTTGAGGATCAAAATGTATGTACTAAACCCTCCGTGTCTGTGTGTGTGCAGTTCGTACACACGAAAGAAACCCTATTGTTGGCAATCATTCGTCCATGAAAACAATCCAACAGAAAGAAGCATTTGCTGCCTGTTGTCTAGTAAATGCTGAACAGTGAAAGGAAAACTTTTATTCATACAAAATCAAGCATTTGCTTTTCCTTAATGCTTGTACTCCAAAGTAAATGCTTTTACTTTTTGCTTAAACTTCCTAGCATTTACTAGTTTTGTAAAAAACGACCCATTAATTCCTTTGGCAAAAAGCAGCACAGCTAAAAAAAAAAATTCTCCCACACAAGAACCCTTTGAATGAAGGTGATGGGGTGGAAGTGGGCAATTTAAAAGTAAATCTCTCCCATTGTTAATTTCTCCCATTGGGCTGTGACAAAGTGAGCCTTAAGTTGCACTTTCTTTACCCACTAAAACCAGCCAGCAGAATAAGAAGTTGCCCCATTGGCTGAAAGTCTTATGTAACATAAGTTGTCACTGGTCAAAACTTATAAGCTGATTGGCTGACACAGTATGCAAACAGCACTGGATCCTGTTTACAATCCTGTGTTTTTAAGTACTATACAGACATGAAAAAGTTTCCCACATTAGGAGCTGATACTGTGCAGAATCTTCTAATTTCCACCCGATTTGTAACGCCATTTGTGCAAGAAAACCTTTACCCATCCACACACACACAGACCTTCACAGTGTACTGCCACCAAATTATTGATTTTCAGTTAGGCAAAAGCAACACAGTAAAGATACAAGAGTTTTCTACAATCCCGGCCAAAATGGTTGGGACACGTGACGACAAGCACACCCTCCCCCAGTCCCCCACTCCCCCGTGTCAATGTTGTTATCTCCAGCTGGAGCACAGACCGCGCAATGAGAGACAAGATTGACCGGGGGCCGGGGGCCCAGCGAGATTTGGCCAGGATTGTAGGTCACAAAGTGCAATGTCCTTTTGTGAAGTGAAACTTCATTCTCATAGCTTACATACCCGGTAATGCATATTCATGAAAAAGTTTGCCACCTCAGCAGCTGATTGGCGGCTCATGACAGCTCAGGATCCTGTGTTGGTACAAACTTTGCAATGGAATTTTGTGCAGTGAATCTTTACACATGTATACAAAGGCATGCGCACACATGCATGAGTGTTTGCAAATAGTAGAATTCTACAATGAGACTTCAATATCGAAGATCCGAAGTAAACTGTATGCATCACAGCTAATCTCTCATTGTGAACTGTATACGCAGCAGTTAATTAATTTGATGTGGCAATTTCCTAGGCATTATTTCAAACGAGTAATTTAACCAACAGAAAAATTCTGGGAATAAAGCATTTGATCATTTATTGATAAAATGTCTCAAAATCAAGATTTTAATTGAAAGAAAGATTGACAATGGTAAAGCCTAATTGTTGAATGAGATTAATCAGATTTTAAGTTAAATATGGGGGGGGGGAATATGACCATTATTGTTGTGAATTTACGGTTGGTGAAAAACATACTTTTTCTATATTAAACGAAGTTGGGCAGAATGAGCTGAAAATTTGGTAACAACCTACATGATTAAACTACCTATATTTTAGAACTACTAGCAGGAGGCACCCGCTAGCTGGGTGCTGTCGTAAAGTTTGTATTGTTTACAGGTTTAAAAAAAGTTGTCAGTGGAAAAAAGAAATGAGGATTGAGGTACGTAAATAACCAAAATCTAGGGTAAATCGGCCAGGGTTACTTGATACTATTGTAACGTCGACCAGATCTTGCATTTTTACACGTCAGACGAAGGAAACCACAGACACTATTCTTCAGGGTTTCGGGGCTCTAGGCCGTTTATTCTTGCCACTTTCTTTACAGGAGGCTCTCTCTTTATACAACTCACAACAAAAAGGAACGCTATACAAAATGTCACACTACTGAGTCGGCACAGTCTGGCAACAGGTCTCCCTGCCCAAGCGCAGGGGTCCTGATGCTACGGTTGAACCTTGGGTCCGTGCTGGCTCCCTCTGCCGGTGGCCCGGCACCGACGTTACACTATCATCTGACTGTCTGACTAGACAGACATTTTGTTTATTGTCTGTCTCTGATAAATCCCCCGAAATATCGGAATTCCCGTGAAGCACATCAGCTACAGAGAGCCTACCTTTGCAATGAGCACCGGCTTTTGAAAACCGGAAGTGGGAAGTCAACTGTTTTGAGAGAAAACGTGACAAATTTATCAACGAAACTAATTCTACCTCCATGATTCATCATAACGCTGCTGACAGTGCGCTCTCAACTAATGTAACATAGTCATGTTTTGAAATGCATTATTCATAATTGTATGATCAACGTACAGTTTTGCGACCTTTTTTAATCATCATAAATAATCATACATAACGTTATGTTTTGCGTACTAGCGTGTGTGAACTTGTTTTAGAGTGTTTTCAAAGAGATAATGTTGTAATATTTTAAGTATTGAAAGTCTAAAAGAAAGAAATTTGCCAAAAGGCAAAGCAAAAAGAATAAATCTTTTTTTCACGTCCCAAACTGTGATTTCAAAGGTGGTCCAATGGGGTCATATACTATTTTAGCACTGCGTATACATGTACTGGATGCATCTTTCATCAGACATCATGTGTGCAGCGCCTAGCATACTCCTCATGAATCTTAAATCAGACATCATGTGTCACCGCACACTTCCGATTGTGTGACCGCCTCTTCCGTGACACACAGACATCAGACAGACAGACATCGTAGGATCTTTCAATATAGGATGGTTCTCTTGATTATTGGAAATAGTCAGGAACACTAAAAAAATGATGTCTATTCCAAATGACCTGGTCATGAAAAATTTCTGAAAGTGCGTGTATGACATGCATGCGCTGTCCTCATTGGTCAAATCCCCAAACAACGTTGCAGTTTGACTAATCACGCACCGCGACACTCAGCACTGGGGTGCCTTTGAATGTCAGGTACCTTGCTCCACACGGGCTTATATTA